AACGTACGCTTTGATATAGAATTAGAAACTTAAAAGGTTTATATATTTCACTTCGAAATAAATTTGTTTCAGAATTAATGTCCAGAATGTATGTTTTTTTTACAATAACAAACATTGTTACAATTCTGTTAGCGGATTATTCTGCGTATGGTACTGTTTTAGTCCTACACGTCAGACATTTGTCAGCATTTGTGCTCGTATAACACCAGCGTGATTATCTACTGTATCAACACGTGGCAATGACTCGAGAATGTAGATATACAGTTGACAAATTCGTCTACCTTGACGGGACTAGTTACAAGACTTAACAATGTCAAGCGTATTTTATAGGCGAATGGAGTTGAGGGTTTACATTCAAATTATATGTGGTTTCAGTTATGCTTGAATCTTTTGTAGTGTTCGTAGTAGTCAAAGACGTCATCATATATTCTTGGTGATTGTCCGTGTCGTGACAATTGTCGTAACAGCCGAGAGTGGTGATAAATGCTATTCTATATTGTTTATTCAATATACCGTATATAATAGGGTTCACGGAGGAATTCACCATCGGCAGCCACCGAACCAATTCATTCCATGCCTGGGGCATGATGATTACACTGTTAGGATGTGTTGTGTTGTATAAGTAGCCGATGATCAGATCTAAATGATACGGCAATAGGCAAACGAATAACACACCCGCCGTCACCGCTAACATAACCACTATCTGCCGTTGCTGATGAAGCCTCTGTTTCAAATCGTGGGCGCTGACTGAATATTTCCGCACACCTCTCTGTAACTCTCGTGTAGTTAATGCATTAAGCACAATAATGATTGTAATCACTAAAACAAATGCAATTATCGGCGTCAAACTGTGTAGTATGCCATCAAGTGGTGACCACACTCCGGAGAAACAATTGGAATACGACATCTGCAGGGAAATTGTCTCGTTACTCAGCGGCCATATAATACAGGTAGTGTACCACGTAGTATAAAATTCGAATATCGGAGCAGAGAACACAATACCCATAATCCATGTGAGTACAATTAGTTTGAGTGTACGAGTCTTAGAACTGATTCTATCCGCTTTGAATGGTTTACAAATTGCCATGTATCGTTCGAAAGTCACTAAAACAATATTAAACTCGGAGACGAAAAGACAAATATCGAGCGATATATTTACAATAAAACATCCAACCGGACCTAGGAAACTTTTATCGTGTACGATATCTGTTGACAACGGTTCACCGACTTGCACTATATAGTATAAGCTTAGAAACATACAGTCTACGATGGCTTGGTTCGATAGATACATATTAGTCAATGTACGCATGGCTGACACTTTGAATACTACGTAGAGAAACAGACAGTTGAGTATGATACCAAACGGACATGTAATCGTAGCTGGAATGATACGGGTTAACAATATATGCTCGGAATCGTAGAGAAGCTCTGGTGTACCTGGTTCTATGTAAATATCCGTGAGATTTTTACTTCGTGCTCGATGACACACTGGTTATTGTCGATAAGATCATAATAGTCACTGGTGGTATTCATTGTGTTAATCCTACGATGGTGATGTGGTTATAATGGTAATGTTATCTGGAAACGACAAGAAATATAAGAGAGCAAACACATCACTACGATTGCGATATTGAAATCCAGGGTAACGCCAATGACGCTGATCACTTCAACATACCTCCAGTGTCGCTATGCGCTCCATCATGTTGTGAAAGAATTTTCTTTATGACACATCTACGATACAGCGCCCTCTCACTCTATGAGTAATGTTCATTATATTACTATTCGCATATATTGCAAATTGCTATGGCTATTTACATAGTGTAATCACATGCCAAGTATCCATGCCAAGTATCACACATATGTCTCAAACAACTGTTTGAGCGTGCAAAACCGCAATTCATAGATTTAGTCCCTAATAAACTTTGATTTAAATGATATGATTTATCTGAATTATGTGATAACATGGCAGTCCAATTACAGGTTAATGTAGTAGACAATTTTGCCCACATCACGAATTTCAGCTCGAGACAATTGTTATATATATACATAGTCACGTAAAATTAAATACTGATTACTTCGCATAGCCAGTTGCATTGCATGAGATATCAATGTAATATCCTTGGATTGTTATGAAAGGTGTACAGGCTAAAATGAACGGTCAATTAGAAGATTAGTAAGATGAGTAATGCTATACGGCAATCATTATATCCTGCGGTGAATCGGAAATTATATGAGATGGTTAAGAAGCAATAACATGTTTCGATAGGAAAGCACATGCTTAAGGGCGATTAAAAATTACGAGGTTGATGGTTCATCAGAGTTGTTATGATATGTAATTCGAGTAGATTACAATGTCATGTTGACGTTGCATTACAATGATTAGTTTCGTATACTAATGATAATAATGATGGAATTTCGTCTGACTGAAAATGTCGAAAATTTTAGCTACTTTTGCTTTTAATTTCCTGACTGAAAATGCGTGAACTAGTCAGTTGTGAGCAAAGTAGAATAATTAAAAATACTGACATATTTATAGTGTGCTAGTCAAAATCTACTAGTTTTATGGGATTATAATTGACTATAAATTGATTATAATTTATAATTGTTAACTGGAAGTACGTCGTCAATATATCGTATTTCGATCGCGAAATCAAGGGCTTTGGCTTTTTGTGTCATTTTTTATTTCACATCAATTCTGTAGAAATAAATATGATGTGAATCGGAAATACTGGCACACTATGCTATTTTTACACAAACACGGTAGAATCGTAACCCAATATATTTGGTCCAATTATAACTTCTTAACAAATGTAAATTTTTCTAATGTGTTACTTTAAAATAATAAAATCAATAGTCTTATTAACAATCACACTTTAAATTGATATATGGTTCCGTTCATGAGAATGTATGGATGGCATATAAGCCCGGCGCATCAGTAAGTATAAGTATCTAAGTGACAACACGACGTTACAAGAGTATATGTACATATACTTCAATCAGTTACTGAGTATCATTCTAGTAATTCATATACTTCTAACATTCCTGTTAGGACTCACATTCACCTTTAATGAGTTATAATAACCTTGCGTTTTTGGCGAATAACCTTGAAAGTAATATCAGTTATAGATGGTAAATATTAAATATAGTGTGAGACATAAGCTGATTGCAAGTTTAGGGCATAATGTTGGCAATGCAATCAATGATCAAATTAATGTAATCGGTTTCATATAATCAGCTGAAAATAATCACAAATGTATACAGTTATCAATTTAATGGTACTCACATTGATGAAGAAATATAAAGGAACTCTCACGTGAATGTATAGGAATGTAAAATATGAATCATGAATAAATGCGAACATACAAACATGTATATACATTTAGCAAGCAAAACGGAGGTAATTGATATCGATATTGAGTAATTAATGACATTGGTGGATGATAACAGATGTGAAGGATGGAAGCGAGTTGACGATATCGGTGTTTCCAACAAAATTTCGAATGGCATTCATGTGTGCTGTTTGATATCTTGTTTTATTTTACCGAGAGTGCGGTATTGCAAAGCGCAGTATGTATAGCTTTACGAGCGCGTAAAAGAAAATGTAAATATATATATTGCTTCGAACAAAGGCACCCGTTATCTCCGGTATTAGTCGTAAATATCTTATTTATCGGCGGTGAGCACAATCCGTGTGCTTGTTATTGTTATGTTATATCTTTGTTCGGAAATGCGTTCTCAGTCAAAAGATATCACAGTAGTAAAATATAAGAAAGGTTCAAAAGATAACGCGTGATGTACACAGCTAACTAAGAAAAAAGACATAACGCGCATCACAGTTCACAAACAAATAAAGATGTCATATAACAACCTTTTTAATGGATAACATTCACTTACGTTTTTTTTATGTTTTATTGAAGAATGTAATGAAATTATCTAACTTTCTCTTATGTATGTAATGTGCATGTGATCTCTCGTCACCTCGTCTCAGGTTGTACTTGATAGTTCTATGACAGACAAACTGAGTCGGCCATTTCCCGCAGTCCACGGGTTCCAATATATATTCAAATTAAAATTGTGAAAATATGACAAATAATAAAAATTAATTAGTGTACATTTTATGTTGTATTAGTGCAAGAAGTTGTAATGTTATTATATTCACAG